ACCCCGCACACCCCATACAACTCCCAAACATGACCCCACCCCCAGCCCCTGGTGATGATGGACGTCACCCGCCGCGTCCTGCTCAGCCAGCCCCCCAAGGGCAAGACCCCCGCCGGCCCAAACATCTTCGACAACGTCCCGGCCTTCCCGTCGGCTACCGACCGCTCTGTGGTGCGGCCGAACTTCGACACGCTCTACTCGACCGCGTGGCTGGACCTGTCCAAGGGGCCGGTGGTGGTGTCATCGAAGGACACCAACGGCCGCTATTACCTGCTGCGTGAGCCCTTCTTTTTGGGGGCCGCAAGGGAGCGTGATTGTTCCCTGGTGCAGCGCTCTTAGTGTGCTCAAAGCCCGGCGCCGCTGTACTCGGGCCCCCAATTGCTAGAAGTGGATTCCTGGATCCATGCCGGGCCCATGTGCGCCGGCCAACACGCCCAGCTGCGGCAGAGCCACCTCCCCCCTGGCTGGGCAGGCGCGCGGCCAGCAATCGGGGGGACATGCACGAAAAGGAAGCTGCCGCGGACGTTGCCTCCTGGAGCGACTCCCCACTGCTGCCGCTTTCCAGCTTTCTCACCACAGCACCGCCAAAGCCCACGGCTCCCCCCTGCCTGCGCCCCGCGCCCCACATGCCATGTGCACCGCAGCGCTGCTCGACATGTGGACTGACGTGTTTGCCGTGCCCGGCGCCCGCACCAGCGGCACCCAGGCGGGCGCCTGGGCCGTCACGCCGCCCGGCTGGACCGGGCAGCTGCCAAAGGACGTGCAGCGGATCGACGCGCCGACGCCGTTTGTATGGGTCATAGGTCGCACACAGGCAGGGATTCGGATGGGGGCTGATGGGGAGGGCGACTGGACGGAAGGGAAGGGGTCGTCGGCGCCAACCGGGCCGCGTCTGTGCGCATGGACACAGCGAGTCTGGCGGTGCCTTGATCACGAAGCGGGCGCAGCGGCTTGTGTGTTGCAGTCAGCGGGGGCCCCTGTCGCGCCGAGGCTGCACACACACACACACACACACACACACATACACACACACACACACACCTGCACGTTTGCTGACGCGCGCCCCCCCCACCCACTCCTGACCCCTGTTTATGTCATGTGTTGATGTCATGATGACAGACCAACGGGCCCAGCGACTACGCCGCAGTCCACAAGGTGGGTGCCGGCCGCGGGGTGGGGGG